AGAGGAGAGCTTTTCAGCTCCAGAACAATGACTCATTGGGAGGTGTGGGTGGCAGGGAGCGGGGAGGGTGTTCCTGGGAGGACAGCTTCCTCTCTCTGGTCCAGGAGCTCTCTGGTGTATAAATAAATCCCGGACCGCCAGCCTCCTCTTGGGAGAAATTTGATTACAAAACCTCAGAAGAGCCACACACCGCCATGGCGCCTATTATACTGCTGAGCCGGGTTGACGGACTTAGTGAGGTTTGGCTTCCAGGACAGCCAGAATGGAAAGCCTATCTAAAAGATCCAATTTTCCCAGACTAGACTTCATGCTAAAGACCATCAAGAAGATGAAGACGTTCACAGTACTGGCCAGTTACCTGATGCAAGAAGGCACATCCAGACAGTCCCTGGAGAGGTGTTAGCTGTTTGGGCCACGGCCTGGGGTTCCTCCCAGTATTGGGAGCAAGAAGTACCTACGGAACCCGCCATTTCCAGGGATTCCCCACCCTCAGTTGGTGGTATCTCAGTAACAAGGATGATAAATATCACCACGTTCTTTTATATAGCAGTGGCCATATGCCAGGCACGGTTCTAAGTACTTTACAATTATTAACGAGTTTGGCCTTCACAACAACCCCACGGAAGCAGGGACCATTAATACACCCCTAATCACAGGCGAGGAAACGGGAGGCAACGTCACGGAGCTAGTAAGTCAGTCTCCCGTCAACAGGGCGCAGGAGAGTCAGGAGACCTGGGCTGAGTAAGCCTGTGCCTCCGGCCAGGGTGCCCGGCCCAGCCGAGTACTGAGAAATGAGGGAGGCGGAATCAGGTGGCTCCTGAGATCGCTTCCAGCTCGGGGAGTCTGCGACTGTGCGGTCGCCTTGCTGCTGGTCTCGCGGGTTCGCCAGCGTCTGGCCGGGCCCCAGGCGCAGCAGGGCTGCCTGGCCGCGTCCCCGCAAGTTGCTCGCCCAGACGCCAAGCCCCAGTCTCCTGATCCTGGGAGAATGGACTTCTAACCCTTCTCCAGTATCCGTGTCCGGAGAGTCGGGCGAGCCAGGAAAGAGACGGCAAGAGCCCAGGCGGCGCGACCCGGGGTAAGGGAGCGATGAGGGAGACAGGCGAGGGGCTCAAGGACTGCAAAACCACGCAGACCCTTCAACCCCCAAAACTTTCTCCCGGGATTCGGGACCCCATCAGCCTCACATTGGCTGAGCCGCGGCCGCCCGGACCCGCCCTCTCTCTCTAGCTATTGGCTGCCGTAGGCATCCATCACAAGCCGAGGCTTCCCGATAGACCACGGCTTTTGTCAATCAAGGTGGGCGGGAGACTGGGCGGGGACAGGTCCGGGAGAGACACGCCAGCCTCGTTCCCCTCCCAGCGTCCCTCCGGAGGGTGACTTGGGACCTGGAAGCGCCCGGGGGGGACCCAGGCCGTGCTGAGGGCCCTGCGGCGGGGCTCCGGGGACTCACCGATGCGCTGTCCCACCGGAGAGCTGAACGGGTTCCCCAGGAGAAAGTCCATCGCCGCGGCTGCCCCAGCCACCAACCGGGGGAATCAGCTGACAGCAACCGCCAGCGCCGCCGACTCGTCACGTGACGCGCCCGACGGTCCGCGAGGAGGCGCCCGTGGAGGCGGGGCGTAGGGAGTAGAGCGTGGGCCACAGGCCCCGCCCCTGACGTGGAGGGTCGGGCTCCCCGAGGCGGAGGGCGACGACCACATTGCAGCTCTCCCGGCGCCTGCGGACGTCACGCACGACGTAGGGTTGGGGCAAATGAGGAGGCTTTGTGTGGCCTGTGCAGGCCACGCCCCCAATGCCTTTTAAAGGTGTGACCTAAAGCTCTACGCTTGTCAAGCAAGGTCTCGGAGCAGGGAAATGACTTGGGTAAGGTTACACTGCAAGCTCGGACCAGTTCTCACTCTAGTGTCTTCGCTGTTAGGACCTCACTATGACTACGCCCCCAACGCTGGGGTTGACAGCATCTCTGGCCTGTTGTCTCTCCGCCCTGGCAGAGCTCCTCCTATCTGATGTCAGGGCCTCCCTGTTGCAAGATGCACCTTGCTTGCAGTCCGCATTCGCTTACCTCACATTGGAGGCCAGCACCAGGGGATTGCGATCCCTTGACACAGAACCAACTCCATGAATTGTAGCGAGGAACGGGCTAGAGCCCAGAGTGGCAGAATGCACCCAGATGTACTCACAAGAGGGGCCTGGGACCCATTTCTGCCATTTATTTACTCTGTGATTCAAACAGCGAGCTTTCATTTTTGCTGGATGCTAGAATTAGATCAAGGACTGTATAAACTTTGTTGTAGGTCACAGGCTCTTTTGAGAATTTGGAGAAAACCACAAGCCTTTATGCAGCAAAAATACAGAGATACAATTTAACTTCAGGGAGTTTATGGGGTCCCTGAAACACAGCGGTGGACCCCAAGTTAAAAATTTTAAGCATTTCAAAGGCCTTTCCTCGTTCTAAGATTCTCTTTTCAACCCTCCTGTGTACCATGTTTTAGATACTGCTCTTACACATTAGATCAGATCTGATCTATTGGTTTTTTTCTTCTCATCACATGCACTCCAAAAGACACAATAACCACAGCTTTGGTAGTTTGGGCTACTGCAGGGTGCTTTAATATTTAATTGGTCACTGTGTTTGTGATTTTTAAATGGGGAAGGCTAGTAAATGGATTGTACCGATATGGGATGATGAAAGACCTAAATTAGGACTTAATCACTTCCTTACGTTAACCTGTTTGTGCAGACACAGTGGCTGAACATCTTTACTGTACAGTATAAAAACTTTATGGAAGTCATGTGCTGCTGTGCTTTGAAGTGTTTTAATAATGCCAAGGAGACCTATTCACAAATGCCCTTCCCCTCTACTCTGTGAGGGGCTGGGATACTATGTCACCACTTTGCTCACCATTGTTGTCTAGTACAGTGACTAAAACATTAAAATTTAAACTAATCTACCTTAGATCAAATACCTTTGGTATTTGGACCATAAAGGGCAGGATATACATTTAAGGTGACTTCCATGCCAGGCACCTTCCATGTTTTTCTTCATTTGAGCATATTGCTTGGTCGCATACATGGTATTTAGCATTTTTGGATTCTTCCATTGGCAGCCTTTCACATGCCCATGCTGGGTGGTGATTTATCTGAAGTTTTTGCCTCCTTGCCCCACTCTGGTTTAAAGTGGTTGTGGGCAGAAGATCTTGGGCTTTATTGACAAGAATGAAACAGCCAGAAGTTGTATCCTTCACGGTAAAAAAGCTGAAACAGCCCCCATACTCCAAAACAGGGAGCGGAATCATATCAATTCCATGCAAACAGAATACTACATAGCTCTTAAATTAGAAGTATGTGGATTTGTCGACCCAACAGAGAAGAATACAAATGGCAAACATTAAACGTAGTACAAAACTGATTAAAACTATGTTTTAAAAGTGTTTGCTAAAAAAACCAAAAAGTGTTTGCTAAGGGGCGCCTGGCTGGCTCAGTCAGTAGAGCATGTGACTCTTGTTCTCCGGGTCCTGAATTCAAGCTCCGTGTTGGGCGTAGAGCTCATTAAAAAAAATAAATAAAATAAAAGCGTTTGCTAGCAAGGAGCAAATTCATTTAGTAAACAATATGTTTTAATTTTTTAAACGTTTTAGTAATATTGATATCAAACGCCTGCTTGTGGGTAAAAATGGTTAAGTCCCCTAAGACTGACATACTGCATAAATGTAACGTAATCTATTACATCCTTCAAGTACTTTTGTTATTTTTATTTTTTAAATTATTTATTTTGAGAGAGAGCGAGTGTGCGGGGCAGAGAGAGAGAAACCCAAGCAGGCTCTGCACCGTTAGCAGAGAGCCTGAGGCAGGGCTCGAACTCATGAACCACGAGATCATGACCTGAGCAGAAATCAAAGAATTGGACGCTTAACCGACTGAGTCACCCAGGTGCCCCTCAAGTACTTTTAGATGAAAGTCAAGATCCTCTGCCTTCAAAGTGGTAAGACAGTAGTACGACAAGAAAGGTGAGGCCTGTGTAGTAAACGCCAGCCAGGACGAGAGAACATCTGAATAAGGAAAGAGTTTCAGGTAGTTTTTGTACAATCCCATTTGCTCAGGACCGTAGGTAACAGAGAAGGATTCTGAGGCCTTCCATACTTTTCAAGTGGCTTGGGGCCCAGTTCAGCTGTACCAGTGTGCTGCTATGGCCTTGCCCTTTACTAGCTGTACCACCTCAGGTGAAGTACTTTCCTCATTGGTCTCATTTGTAAAAGGGGAGAATACTCAGAAGGCTTGTGGGAGGACTGAATGTGAGAAAACATGCAAACCACTCCTTAAGAGTTATTCAGTGTCTTTCTTGCAGTCTCTTCGTAAGAGGTCAGTCTTCCCATTGACCCAATATTTCCCTATTTAGTAGGACTAGTCACACCTTGTCTTTACATTGAAATTTTTACCTAGAGAGGTCAAATCTCCACATATTAAAATGTTCACAGTATTTTTAATCATTCATGTCAGGCTGGCTGGCCGCAGGCCTGGAGGCAGGAGTGACCTTAACACTATTTTACTGGTGGGACTTTGGACACCCACAAAGACTAAGTGACCTATCCAACATCATTCATTAGGTCAAGACAGGACTGAAACGGCAATGAAATGTATCATGGTTAAGCACAGGATTTAGATGTGACCCTTAATACACGACTGATATTTTCTTGAGTTAGACTAACACTGTAGTGTACATACAATGTCATTTACCAGTGAATAGAGCTTCTCTTACAGAGTCACTGGTCTTTAGTTTGCAAGGGAGAGAACACGAGAGACTGTACAATGTAAAAGTTAATAGAGACAGAGCAAGATGTAAGTTAGAAAAATGGCTAAGATCAGAAACTTGGCCTCTATTCCAGATAGAGATTTTTCTTAAAAAAAAAAAAATCATGGTACAATATAGGTGAAAAATGACAGGTTTTAGAATTTCATAGCAACTTGCTCAGCAACAGGGAAAAGATAACCTGAGACCGGACTACAAATATTAAAAATGTGATTTTTAATAATATAAGTACAAAATTTTATTTCTTTATACAACTGTAATGGGATTTGGATCAAACCACTAGAATTTATTTAAAAAACAAAATAAAACAATGATATAAAAACTGCAAGAAGGTCTGAATCCAAAGTTTTTCCTCTAATAGTACCAAATACCACAAGGTACAGATTATCATACAAATGTGTACAAATTTAAATACAAATACAATAGGGTTGGGTTTTAAAGGAAAACAAACCAACAAAAAGCAGGTCCTCATCAGGATTTCATTCATGTGCACAAATGACAATGGTAGGACTGACTGACTTCTTTCCTACTAATCCTGGTCTTCAAGGCCCCTCCTTGATACCCTGTGTCAAACAGGAAGCTTCCACGGTACAGATGAGGAGTGGCACAGGGTCTGACACAAGGAATCAAACCCAGATCTGCTCTTCTTGATTTTGGTTCCCAAACACACCCATTTCCTTCCGTCTCCCCAATTAAACTTCCCCACGGCTCTGAGCTGAGGGCCAATCAGCAGCTAGAGCACCTTCAGGAAACAAAGCCCTGCGACCCCTCGGGTGGGGAGAAGGGAAGGGATTAAGTAGGATGCAGGCTGGCTGAAGGGTCCTCGAAGATCTACTTAGATGCTGTAGTGCTGTGCCTCGGCCAGGGGAAGAAAGCGCAGTTCCCCCGGTGCTTAGTTTTGGCAGGGAACCTCACACCCAGTTGGAAAACAACCCTCAAGCGTTCAGCTGTCTTCTTCGGAACTGGGAAGCAGAAGTCTGGTTCTTTGGAAAAGTGGGCAGCTGGGAATGGTAACATTCCTTTTAATTTTACTTTCTTGACATTATTGAATTATAAAGAATTAGAATCCTGACATAATGATTCCTTTTTGAGGCATGATACCTTAAAATGTAAATGACTTGGGAGTTTTCAGTGGAGATCAGAAGAAAGAAGGAGGGAAGAAATGACAAATCTGTGTCTTCCACGTGCTGTTGCTGGTGGAGGCTTTTGTTATTAAATTATATATACAGAAATTTACAGGATAAATTAAAATCTAAGAGATTTTAAAGAGTTAAATACACATAATTAAAACACACATTCACACGCGCACATAAATAAACCTACATGAGAATCGAGTACTTTTTTGCAATTCACTTATGTGTGGAATGCAGAACACTGGGTATCTGCCCACCAGGGGAGCCAATTGGATGAACCCAAGAATCACGCTGGGCCAAGTTCATCTTCCACAACCATCAAGCAACTAAGCAGCAAAACCTGTGAGGACTCGGCGGCTAAGCAAATGCTGCCAATGGAAGATACCAGCAATTAGTTCTGCAGATGGAATATTCTGGGTCAGCTCACAATGTATGTTCAACTTGTGCAGTCACAGCTTTACCCTCTCCAAGGTGTTTCACGCTGCTGGGGCTCACGTAACTCCTCGGCCCCTACTGAGGCTGCTAATGGTACCAATGATTACAATAAATTTTGAGACACAGACACCGGTAGAGCAGGAAACGGAATGAACCCCCTATGAAGTTCACCTAAGCCACTGCAGTGACTGGAAGATGGGAACGATTTTATCACCTCCTGCCTAGGTCACTTCAAGTTGAAAGGCTTTGTACTCTCTCAGTCAACTGGCATCTTCCCATAATCTTCCCTATTATACTTCAGACTGTGAGACAGGTAAGGCAAGTGGTCAGTGATGGGTCTGGAGGTACAGCTGAGTTTGGAAAAAAATCACATTTTTAGCTGTCCATAAAGAGATGCCCTTGGCACCCAGAACAAGCCCCCAGCCCCCAAGTTACATTGATTTTTAAGGCAGATTTATCCACCACAGGAGAAAAAAGAATCCCAAGTCCATATTCATGCCAAGGTTTCCTCTTGGCTAAACCTTTGCCATTTCATAAAATTATTAAAAGCAAAGTAGTTACAGTCCTATGTATATATTGTACATTATATATATATGTATATATATATATGTATATATATATATAAAAATTTAAAACCTACACCCGGAGACCAGTGATCTGGCGCATCCACATATACACAAACCAGCAATGGGGTTGGATGAGGTCTCTGTCCCGGGACTCCTCGAGGTCACAGTCCAGGCATGATGTAAGCAATGTTGTCTAGTGTGTTTGACTGCAAAACAAGGGAAGAGGTTCAGCTGACAGCACTTTACCTTAGTTCCCTGAGACCTGTTTCTTTGTTCAGAGGAGAGAGAGGAGAAAGGAAACCGAGAGTTAGAGAGTGAAGCTGGCACCGAGCGGTCTGCTCCCCTAGGAGCTTTTCCGCTGACTCTTCCCATTAATCCTCGTGGAAAAGCGGCAGAAGCCTCCTCTTCCGTCTCTGTGTATGGAAATGCAAATAGGCAACACAGGAGGTGCGGCCCCTCAGGGGCTAGAATGCTTCTCTCCCAAGGACTGTTTTGGGAAACGGCACGTTTTCTAATTGCACGCAAAGCACAGCATGTATTCAGCAACCCGGTACCACGTTCATGGGCCAATATACGGAGGGAGCACCATCTGCCAGGAAGCCTGTGAGCTCATTAAGGCAGGGCCTCCGTGGCTCCTGAGGGGTCTGGCTGAAAAAACGCCAAGGAAAACAGGGAAAACTCACCAAGACCTGCTTGGGACAGCCGTTCAGTTCAGGTAGTTGTGTGGTCAGACACGCCAAGGGGCCAAGCGCACAGATGATGGAATCCAGAAGCACTGACAGACTGCCTGACACAGCCACCATGCCCTGAAAGGAGAGCAGTAAGGGAGAGCAGGTTGTAATCGAGTCCCACTCCTGACTCTCCCTCCGCGTTCTGGTTGGTTTCCTCACATTGTTCTTTTAAGTCTTGCCCGTCCTACGCAACTTGCAGCAGAAATGGAAGGTATCTGCTTTGAGAACTCTGTAAGCTGTTGAAAAAGAAAACTTTTACAATACATTCCCAAGTTCCCTTTCTATGTTCCTCCCCCATCTTACCCTCTGTGCACCCTAGGGTTAGTCACTTGGACTTCCCTACTCCAGAGAGCTCCTGGGAAGATTTGTGGAAGTCATGTGTGCAAAAGTACTTTTCTTATGAACTCCACAGAGCTCAAGTGTGAGAACTGAGAGGTCTACAGCCCTACGCATTAACATTTAACACAAACACACGCACACTTCTCCACGTACGTGGTTTTTTGATAGCTGATGATCCCACTTTTCTGGGTTGAGTTGTTCATCCTCAGAAAGAAGTGAATTGGGTTTATTTCAAATTTTAACATCTTGCCCAATGCATAATGTCTCTCTGTGATTCAAATAGGTAAGAAATAAGACTGCTTGCTGCAATGCACCTGCCTCGCTCTTGTATCATCTGCTTTAACTGAAGCCCTGTGAGGCTATGTCAGCCAGGGACACAGCACAGTCCTTCAGAGAAGGAGCTGTGGGCTCAGGACTGCCAGGTCCCCTACGCACTGCTTCTGTCCTGGGGCAAGATGCTTCCTATGCTGTGCCCATGAAATAGCCTACGCAGAGGGGATTAAGGGAGATAACAGGTGCAAGGTACTTGGAACGGTGCCTGGTACGTGGTAAGTGTTCAAAAAGTATCAGTAATTATTACCATTATCACCAACATCTTCGTCTCCCAAACTGCATTCTGGTTGCCTGCTAGGTCTCTCAGTTTGGATGTTTCCAAATCTCAACATGCCGTAAAGAGAAATCGCCTGCCCTCCTCCTAGCACCCCTTCTCTGCTAAGGTCACCACCACTCACACAACTGTCCAGTCTCAAGGCCTTGCCATCGCCAACTCTTCCCTCCCCTCTCCTCCTTGCAAGGGGGGCTGTGCAGCAAGGGGTTAAGAGCGTGGACCTTGAGTTGTGCCACCAAATTCAGGCCTCTGTTTTAGCACTTAGGGGCTCAACTCCAGAGCAAGTTACTTAGTCTCTCTACATACATCTGTTTTCTTCTTCTGTAAAAGAGAGGGAACAAAAATTCTCCCCACAAAGCTGCAGTGTGAATTACATGAAAGAATCGATTTAAAGCCCTTTGAACTAAAGTTGGCTGAGTAAGCAATCAACCAGTTAGCAATTAATAATATTATTCCATTACTTTTGCCCTACAGGTAATTATAGCTAATGTTTTATGTCGGACTCTCCTAATGAATTATAAGCAACTAGAGGGCAGGAACCCTGTCATATTCCTTTTCGTGTCTTCTCAATAACTGCTGGTATTCTGCACAGAGGAAGCCCTCAATAAATATGTGTTGACTTAATTCAAGTCTTTGTCATGTCTGGACTGCATTACAGTTACACAACTTCTCCCCAAGTCAGGTGTCACTCCCAACCTAAAACAGAAGATACTTTCAGAGAAAACCAAATGAGAGCGCTGATCACATCCCTTCCTACTCAAAACAAACCAACAAAAATCCCTGCGGTTCCTCCATAGTGGAGAATAAAGATTTGAGAGCGTCCAAACCTTCTGTAATTTGGGCTACGGCCTTAATTTTCAGGCTTCCTCCATCTTACGTGTAGGATGGTCTAAACTGTCATCATTTTAGCAGTAAAACCCTTTTTTCAAAAAAAACCTGACGTGGAAGAAACAAAGCAAACGAACAAAGGGGGAAAAGAAGAGTGAGAGCGAGGTAAACCAAGAAACAGACTCTTAACTATGGAGAGCACACGGCTGGTCACTGGAGGGGAGGTGGGCCGGCCCCCCCCCCCCCCCCTGGGTGAACCAGGGGAAGGGGATGAAGGAGCTCACTTGCAATGAGCACCGGGTGATGTACGGAAGTGTTGCATCACTATAGTGTACACCTGAAGTTAATATTACACTGCATGTTAATTAACTGGGATTTAAATGAAAAACTTACAAAAACCCCAGATGTGGAGTCCCGATATATAAACCAGCTAGAAGACCTGGTTAAAGTGGGAGTGGGGGGCTCCTTTCATCCGTCTCCGTAGAAGACCCCGATTCCAAGCAACGGAGATGCGCACTGTGAGTCTCCAGGAGACAAAACCCTCCAGATCCCTCCAGGCCCTGCTGGAAGAGCACCTCCCTTTCACAAAATCCCTCTTGACTCTCCCTGACTCTCACTGGGCTCTAGCTTCTCTCACCGCATCAGCTGGCCTCAGGGAGACAAGGTCAGGAGTGAGGCACGCTGGGCTCTGCCAGACTGTCAACTTGTAATCGTCACTTAACGTTATTAGGCCCCTGGTGTCCCATCTATAAATGAGTGACTTGTAGACACCAGTGTTCCTTGAAGTGTGGTATGTAGTTTCAGGTGGCACGTCATTTTGATGTGTGCCTATTGTGATGTACTACGTTAGGAAAAAATTAGAATATCAGACTTGTGACTCCTTTCGGGAGTAACAAAGATGTTCTGGAATTAGATGGTAGTGATGGGGCCACAGTTCTGTGAATATACTGAACACCACTAAATTCTACAGTTTCAGAAGGTGAACTTTAAGGTATGTAAATTGTATCTCCATAAGACTGTTACATAAAGGGGGCTAGAGAACCTGCACGAGCCTTCCCCCCCCCCACTTTTAATGTTTTATTTATTTTTGAGAGAGAGAGAGAGACAGAACGTGAGTGGGGGAGAGGTAGAGAGTGAGACACAGAATCTGAAGCAGGCTCCATGTGCTGAGTTGTCAGCATAGGGGCCAACATGGGGCTCGAACTCACGGACCACAAGATCATGACCTGAGCTGAAGTCGAACACTTAACTGACTGAGCCCCCCAGGCATACTGAGCCTTCCCCTTCTCTGGTCACCATGTATGTGTAACTTTTTCAAAGCAGCTGCTCACAGAAGCTGGCTTGTTTTTGATTAAATGTTTATTTATTTATTTATTTATTTATTTTTGAGAGAGAGAGAGAGAGAGAGAGAGATCGATCACGAGACGGGAGGGGCAGAGAGACAGAGGCAGCAAGAGAATCCCAAGCAGGTTCCGTGCTGTCAGCACAGAGCCAATGCAGGGCTCAAACACACGAACCATGAGATCATGACCTGCACTGAAATCAAGAGTCAGATGCTTAACTCAATGAGCCACCCCTGTGCCCCTTAATTGCTAATTATATGTATGTTCTATCTTTCCAGTGAGACTGTAAGTTTCCTGATGATCGGAAACCATCAGGAAGCAAGTCAGATTTTCTACTCTCACAAGTTTTTTTTTTTGTTTTTTTAAATAAATGTTTATTTATTTTTGAGAGAGAGAGAGAGAGAGAGACAGAGAGAGGGAGGGAGGGAGGGGATGGGCACAGAGAGGGAGTCAGAGGATCTGAAGTGGGCTCTGTGCTGACAGCAGAGAGCCCGACGTGGGACTTGAACTCACAAACCATGCGATTAAGGCCTGAGATGAAGTCAGATGCTCAACTGACTGAGCCACCCAGGTGTCCCTATCCCCACAAGTTTTTGAAATAATGCCTAGATGGGGCGCCTGGGTGGCGCAGTCGGTTAAGCGTCCGACTTCAGCCAGGTCACGATCTCGCGGTCCGGGAGTTCGAGCCCCGCGTCGGGCTCTGGGCTGATGGCTCAGAGCCTGGAGCCTGTTTCCGATTCTGTGTCTCCCTCTCTCTCTGCCCCTCCCCGGTTCATGCTCTGTCTCTCTCTGTCCCAAAAATAAATAAACATTGAAAAAAAAAATTAAAAAAAAAAAATACCTGAGTCTATATGAAAATACCCCAGTTGTTTTGAAATCTGCTAAGTTATTAAAACTAGCCAAAAAACTTAGGTAACCTTCATCTTTTGTGGCCTTTGGCATTTTATTTGTTGCATAACAGTTCAACTTCCACAGAGAAGCAAGTGAATAGTTTTATGTTCCTACACTGATTTTTATGGCTTTAGTAGTGGAGACTGATTTCTTTGCTGAAATGTCCTATCAGGACCCAGTGGAAAAGTGAAATACTACACGACTGGGTTAGCCAAGGGGGTAATATGATTAGAAATTGAATACGGTAATAGAAATGGAACATGACAGCTTTTCAGGTTAAGTGATTTTGAAATTGAAGCTTAAAAGGACAAAGATCTCCCTAGGGCACACAGCACTGTATAATTCAAGCACGCAGTAATAAAGAGCTTGAGAACCTCAATTTCCCTATTTGCTACTTATTTTCAACGAAGTAGAGGAAGCCTTAATCCCCTATACAATTTACTCTATTTAAGACCTTACTGGAATTGTGCAGAAAAATTGAAACTCTCTTAGAAGTACCAATGATCAAAACTTCCATGGGATTTGTATTCACTTTTTCCACTGCATTTTTAAAAAATCAAAATACAGGATGATCGATCAATTGTATCTCAATAAAAATTGGGAAAAAAATCATAGAATACCTAACTTCTTTTTGTGCCATTGTTCAATAGGATGGGGTAAGGGTAGACTTTGACAGCCAGTAGATTCCTTATCTCTAGGGGTTTTCACGAGGACGTATCTTGTCACTCTGTCCTTAGCACCTGGCATAATCTCGCACAAAGGAGTAGTAGTTGCTCACTGGGTGCACATGGAAGGAGCCAACAGATTCACACTGTATCAGAAACTGGAGCTATGCTTATGGTGCCACTCACCTCGGTTTCCTGCAGGCGGTGTCCAATGAGGCTTAGGGACTCTCCCAGCAGCTGTAGATGAGCAGCGACATCAATGGGCTCTGTCTCAGGGGCTTTGGCTGGCGAGGCTGGTAACAGCATGGTGGTGGGTGGGGATTTCTTCTGGGGAGACAGTACTCCTGCAGAGGAAGCTGAGAACAGAGACGAAATAGAGAGACAAAGCTTACCCATGGCCTGGGACACCACAAAAATCTTCTTCCTGATTTCCCCGTTACGACCTATACCAGGCCTTAGCAAAACTGTGGACTGTGGGCCAAATCTGTACATGTTTTTGCATAGCCTGTGAGCTAAGAATGGCTTCACATTTTTAAATGGTTGTAGAAAAAATAAAGGAGAATATGTGACAGAGAGTGCCTTTGGCTCACAAGATCTAAAATATTTACTCTCTGCCCCTTTTTAGAAAAAGTTTGGTGACTTCTGATTTATATTTTCTAATTTTGTTTTTTTTTTTTGCAATCTATAATATTCAGTGATAATATGTGGGTATCAAGATCTGCTTCTGATATAGGCTGCACTCCCAATTTCCTGGTTAGGAAGCCAAATTCACCATGCTCTCAGGAAAAGAGGTCGGAGCCCCTACCTTTTACTTTCACGGGAACTTCCGAGCAGGAGGCTTTTCTTTTCACAGTTGTAGCTTCTGCTTTGTTCTGTTTGTGTTGCAGATACTGAGCTTTTTGCTTCCAAATCTGCAATCAGATCAGGGCAAAGCAAGTTACGATAAATGAATCCGGACAAAACATACAAGGGAAAGCAGTCACGGAAGGGGAGAATGAAGAAAAGAAAGGGAAAGGAAATCCTGGAGGGGGGCAGACAGAGGGTTGATGCTAACTTTTTTTTTTTTTTTAATGTTTATTTTTGAGAAAGAACATGAGTAGGGGAGGGGCTGAGGGGGATGGGTGGTAGAGAGGATCCGAAGCAGGTTCAATGCTGATAGCAGTGAGCCCGATGCGGGGCTTGAACTCACGAACTGTGAGATCGTGACCTGAGTGGAAGTTGGATGCTCAACTGACTGAGCCGCCCAGGCGCCTCTTAATGCTAACTTTTACGCTGAGGGTTACCAAACAGGCTTCAGATGGTGACTACAGTGATACCTAAGTACAGGACTGCAAACGTTCTTCCATGCTAATGGTTAGGTCTCAGAAGAGATTTGAGATCACTCGGAGGTCGAAATGGAAAATCATAGGGTAAACACCTGGCTCGGTATGATGTCCATATGGTCCAAATAGTTCTTCTGACCTGCTGGTTGGCAATGCCAATAACAGGATGACAATGACACGGAAAACAGAAAGTAAAGATAACCTACCCAGGTGACAATAATTTCACTGCTTCACCCAGATGAGCTGTGCCGTAAAGAAAGACGGTAATTCTAGTTCCTAGACCAACCTTCACATCACCCAGTTGAAAAGTGACTGTGAATGATTCCAGTAGAACTAGTTATCATTGTGTTGCCGGCTTCCTGATAGGAGGGTATATTATTTGGTATTGGCTGATGAGGATGATGGCCTGCAAGCCACTCACCTAGTAAACACAGCCCATATTTTTCTCATTTGCAGTAACCATGATGCAGATGACCTTCCTCAGTTCTCGGACCTTTACTGACCAGTGGCTGTTTGCAGGAAAGGGGTCTGATCTTAGCTTCTCTTTTTACCCTTCATCACTCCCCAACTCAGGTCATCTTTTGGCTCAAATGGAAGGCTGCTGGAAAACAACTAGATGAGGCTAGAAAAGATAGCCTCCCTGCAGTTAAATCCACACTAGAGTAAACTGGCACCAGCCAGTGTTAATGCCCTCTGCCAAACCATTTTCTTTTTTAATTTTTATTTTATTATTTTTTTTTGATTTTTTTAACGTTTATTTATTTTTGAGACAGAGACAGAGCATGAATGGGGGAGGGTCAGAGAGAGGGAGACACAGAATCTGAAGCAGGCTCCAGGCTCTGAGCTGTCAGCACAGAGGCTGACGCGGGGCTCGAACTCACGGACCGCGAGATCATGACCTGAGCCGAAGTTGGCCGCCCAACCGACTGAGCCACCCAGGCGCCCCTATTTTATTTTTTTTAATGTTTGTATTTATTTTTGAGACAGAGAGAGACAGAGCATGAGCAGGGGAGGGTCAGAGAGAGAGGGAGACACAGAATTGGAAACAGGCTCCAAGCCCTGAGCTGTCAGCACAGAGCCCGATGCGGGGCTCGAACCCACAAACCGTGAGATCATGACCTGAGCCAAAGTCAGACGTTTAACTGACTGAGCCACCCAGGCGCCCCTGCCAAACCATTTTCTACTGATCTATAATTTGTTTTCTTCACCATTTTCACTGTTGGCTTGATGGCCTACAGAAGAATTACGTATTTTGCAAGGCACAAAGCAATGAAAACTGCGTTCGTAAGAAAGCGTACTTACCAGTTTGTCTTTTTCTGGCAACTGCTTCCACACCTCAGCCAGTTTTTTACTAAGTTCCCCGAAGTCTGGCATGAAAGGGTAAAAAACGCGACACAGTAAAGGTCGGACTATAAATCAAACAGAAGATTGATAAGAGCAAAAACTAGAAGGATTTCCCAGCTCAGATTTAAATAGCACAAGGTTCTTGCAGAAAACCACACTAAAACCCCAACACTTGTCTTGATTCTTTTCTCCAGGGAAGGAAGGGGCTACCAGGTGGTCATGAGATAGACTCAAATTCTCACACACCTATGCTCCAGAGATTTATCCCTTCAGCCTCTTTCGGGGGTCTTTCAATTTGACCCCATTATACAGAGCTTATCAACTTAGGTTAAAGAAGATGTGTTGTGTAGAATTTGATAGAAAACATTAGATTTTTACCAAGTTTTGAGAGCGGAGAACCAAAGAGGAATTTCCCTCGAGCAGCCCAGAAGCAACCCTTGAGAAGTGTAACGCTGCCCTTCCATCGGCACAGCAAGGTCATGCTTTATAAAGCGCTCCTATCTGCTACGGTGCTTCACGTGGGCCTCACAACAACCTCGATGAGAAGGTTGTGAAGCCACTGTACCCATCAGGCAAATGAGATCTGTGGAGGTTACGTGACTTGTCAAGGTCTGTGGCAGAGTGTTTCTCTCACCTTGCTAGCTTGTGACACAGAGACAGACAGAAGCAATGCTGTAACTCACACCCAGCGGCCAGAGGGAAAGGTCAGCCGGGGAATCACGGCAGTGAACAACTGCAGGTTTATGTGCAGGGCTCCCTAACATTTAATTGTATTCAGTGTCCCGTTTTCTCATTTTAAGGGATATAAACAGAAAGCTTATCTCTTTTAGGGACGGGTGGACTAAGAACCTAAAGTGACTTCAGAACCGGGAAAGAGGGGGGAAAAACATGAGCTTTGTGGTATTTTAGTACCATAGGAAGAAGCTGCCTGCTGACTGGCTGAATTCACTGCACTGTTTCTGAGATAAAGACGGACAGAACAAAGCTGAGGATGAGAAATGTCCTTACCTATACCTGGATGGTCAGCCACGATGGTTACACGATACTCTTTACAGAACACCTGGTAGGCAGACATGTTCTTCTTTTTTGGCTGGTGCCACGTGGAAACAGAACAGGGGAAGACTTCATTAGAACACAGGTTGAGCAACCCTGAAGCCATGGTTACAAAACAGAAAAGAGACCTATACTTTTTCATCTAGGGAACAGTTCGGAACCACTAACCAGCTTCCTAAACAGGATAACTTTTAATTATATTTCATTTTTAATGAAACTTAGTATTTAATACATATCAGCTTTACTTTTATTTTAAAAGATTTTAGTTTTTAGTAATCTTTATACCCAAAGTGGGGCTGGAACTCACAACTCCGAGATCGAGTCACATGCTCTACTGACTGAGCTAGCCAGGCACCCCCAGTTTTACTTTAGAAGGTAAAAACCACATGCTAAATCATTTCTAGATCTTCCAGGTTGTTGCAGCTACTTGATAATTACTTGTAAAGCCCTTCATTCACCTATATACAATCCCACGTTATGTGTTTGAGAACTCCGTGCTAAGAAAATCTTTGCCTCTCCTGGAGTGTCTATTTTTCTCATCTTTGAAAAGAAGAATCATATTATTTCCCTTTACTTTGGGACCAGAAAGCCAAGAGCCAAATCTGTTTGTTTTGTTCCTCTGGTTTTGATTTCTAGTGTTATAATTTCCCCGATCCTGCTTTTCCTGTTAGTTGTAGTTTATCATTATTTTATTATTCACCTTCTTGTGGTCCAATGTGGGAAGCAGGTAAACAACTGAAAACAATTCTTTGGTAGTCAATGTAAGATGAACCTGTCTCACTTCAACAAATTGCTTTGTGTTACTTGGAGCATGTTTATTCTTTACTGCATTGTGATACCTCCACAAGCAGGGGGGAAGGAGTGACAGGATTTAGCAAGATAATGTGACAAAATAACCAGAGCCTGGGCTTTGGATGCTAACTGATGTAGTTCAGAATCCTGACCACACTATTTGTTAGCAACACAAACTTCATTTCCCTGAGCTATAGTTTCCCTGTGAGTAAGACTTGGATATACCATTTGAACTCAAAGGCGGGAGTTAATCAAACAGTATGTGGCACTTCAGTAGGTACGCAGTAACGTTATGACAGCATCACTTCTGTGGCAGGCAGAATTCTAAGACGGCTCCCAAGATTTCTGCCCCCTGGTGCACATGCCCCGTATAGTGCCATCCCTGTGAGCGTGAGTAGGACTGGTGAGTGTGACGGGCTATCATTCCCGTGACTGTTACGTTGTATGGCAAAAGGGACTTTGCACACTAGTTTAGGTCCCGTTGAATCTTACTTAATCAAAAGAGAGACCATCCTGACTCAGCCTGACTTATCACAGTCAGTCAGGTGAGCCCTTGAAAGGGATGAGACACAACATCAGACACTCTCCTACTGACCTTGAACTTTAGGAAAAGAGGTTGCCATGAGTTCTACAACTATAAAGAATGGAATACTGCCGACAACATGAACAAACTGCCAACAACCTGAAGAGGAAGGAGCCCTCGCTCGCCTCAGGGAAGGACCCGGTTCTGGCCCAAACCCTGATTCAGTGTTGGCAGAGACTGAGAGCCCAGCTGAGCCCTATCTGGACTTCCAAGGTACAGAACTGGGAGATAACAGTGGATGTCGTTGCACGCTGCTAAATCTGGGGTAATTTGTTATGCTCCTATGGAAAACTACTATAAGTTCTTTTCTATTCCCTCTGTATCTTTCAAAATAGAAGTTGTAGCATCCAAAAGGCCAATACAAGCTTTTTTTAAAAATAGGGAATTTTGGAGAAGGATGATAAAGTGAAATCATCTGGCCTAAATCAGGTAAAGAAAATAGCAGCAAGGCCTTTACTTTAACAGTTTCATTTAAATAGTGAAGGTCCTATTTTTAGTATTCTACTGGTGAAGCCAGTCCTGTTTAGAGACGCGACCTAAGTGAGTTCTGGGTGCTGCGTTTGGTTAGTAATTTAGGAGCAGCTTCATATCCCCAAATGTTCCAAGGTTTTTAACTAACGCTCCCTTCTTTCAAATCCCCCTTTATTGGGCCCCAGATACAATGGAGGGGCACTACATAGACAGGAGTTCATGTAAGTTCTATATTTGGCCATTTATGAGAGAGAGAGAGAGAGAGAGAGAGAGAGATTTTGACTGATTAGTTGGGGTGATTCTATGCTATGAACCTATTCCTTGGAGCGAGTGTGACAAAGAACATACACCTGCTTGTCCTGGAGAACTCCTGTATGTCTCTTTCAGTGTGCACAACTCACTACCCAAGTGTGATTCTGACACGTGTAGCTAACGTAATTGAAAAAAATAATAATTATGGCTTCTGAGCCTACGCCAATGACTTCACCTGGTGCCGAGAAGAACCCAGCTGCACTGGGCTGACGTTCTGTTGGACCCGCAGTCTGTCAGCTTTTGGTTGTGAAGCCAGCCTTCCTGAGGGGTTTTCAGGGAACCTGAACTACTTACAATTCCCACCTTAGGTGCTGACCTTAGAACCTAACCACTGTGCAAAATGCAACTCCTGTCTGTAGACCTAAAGTTCGGAATTCAAACTTAACAGTTAAACTTTTTCCAGGGCACAAAGATTTTTCTAAATGTAGTTTAGTAGTTGGAAATATACAAATAATGGATGATCTCTATGCACACAAAATATTTCCATGTGACTCCAGATACAAGGCCAGTAATTCCACTCTAGACTTCCTAATGCAAGAAAACATACACTATTGCAAGTGGATCTCAGTGGTTACATCGGGAACAATGTTGACTCCCCCTAATAAAGTGTTTGTTAGTATTTCAAAAACTTGGATACTTTATTATTCCTAGCAGATGACTGCCAACATATCCACTAAGTGTGACTCACAATGTTGTAATTTTGCAGCCATAACCTCCTTTTAAGTGTTTGATGACATGTATTGCTGTATCAAGACCTTTCAAAGAGTAACTTTTTTTTCCTTTTAGAAAGAGAGAGTGCGAGTGGGGGAGGGGGCAAAGGGAGAGAGAGAATCTCAAGCAGGCTCCACGCTCAGTACCGAGCCCAATGCAGGGCTCAACCTCATGACCCTGGGATCTTGACCTAAGCCAAAATCAAGAGTCAGACACTTAACCGACAGATCCATCCAGGAATCCCTCAAAGAGTAAACTTCTTAATGCTTTTTATAAAGTAGTCATGTTTAACTCCTTTGGGAAATAGAACTCTTTGACAATCTGATGAAAATCCCTCTTCAAGCCCACCCAAAACTCTGGTTTAAGAACTTTTAAAGGCTAAAACACTTGGGGATTAAGGCAAAACATAACTTGTGAATCTTAAAAATAAAACTTGGCTTTCTTCTGCTGATGACAAGAACACAAGTGCTTCATTAATACTAATACCGTATAGGAGGTGCTGTAGGACAGCGTTACTTCTAGAAACTCACTTAAACCTTGCAACAACCCTGTGAGGTAAATTCCATTATTACTGCCATTTTACTTAAAATTTTTTTTAACTTTTAAAAGTAATCTCTCTACCTAACATGGGGGTCCAACTCATGACCCCAAGATGAGAGTTGCATGCTCTTCTGACTGAGCCAGCTGGGTGCCCCATTCCTGCCATTAAAAAAATTTTTTTTAATGTTTATTTATTTTTGAGAGAGAGAGAGAGAGAGAGAGAGAGCGCGCGCGCGCGAGAGAGCAAGCGGGCAGGTCAGGGGAAGAGACAGAGGGAGACCCAGAATCCGAAGCAGGCTCCAGGCTCCGAGCTGTCAGCACAGAGCCCGATGCGGGGCTTGAACTCACGAACCGTGAGATCACGGACCTGAGCCGAAGTCGGACGCTCAACTGACTGAGGTAGCTGGGCGCCCCATTCCTGCCATTTTAATAATGTTTTTTTTGTTTTGTTTTTTTATTTATTTTTGGGACAGAGAGAGACAGAGCATGAACGGGCGAGGGGCAGAGAGAGAGGGAGACACAGAATCGGAAACAGGCTCCAGGCTCTGAGCCAGCAGCCCAGAGCCCGACGCGGGGCTCGAACTCACAGACCGCGAGATCGTGACCTGGCTGAAGTCGGACGCTTAACCGACTGCGCCACCCAGGCGCCCCAATTCCTGCCATTTTAAAGATGAGGAAACTGAGATGCAGGGTCAGACATGCAGGAGTGGCGGGGCGAGCGTCCAAACGCATCCGGTCTGGCTTCGGAGCCCGCGCCTGTAACCACGATACCACCTGATGTTCTCCTGAACTAATTTGACCGAGATCCCTAAATCTGATCTGGCTAAAGGAGAGGGTGCCAGAGAAGTAAGGTTTCACAGCAAAGCTTCTACCTGAACCGTTCTGAATGGAAATCTTCCTAAAACGCACTCTGCACTTGCACCATCTCTCACGGCGCACCACTGGGTGGAAGGCAGACATCCTCTCTGTGTAACGGAAGGAGCATGGGCCCCACAATCACAAAGATCGTGGGTTCAGAGTCCCGCTCTGCCCCTGAACAGGACTGTGCCCTGGGCAGGTTACTTCACTCCCTTGAGCTTGCTTCTGGGAGACGGAGAGGAGAACGTCTACACCTTACCGGGTTCTTGTGGAGACTCACCGAAATACCACCGACGAACGCCTAGTGCAGCGCTCGGGACGCATTTGAAACCACAGCTAGACTCTTGCGGTCGTGGCTTAGGATCGCTCCCCCAGCTCCACCGCCCCGTCCTCGGAGGCAGGTGCAGCAATGCTTCCTCCTTCCACACGGTTACTCCCGATCTTCTGCTGCCTCCACCTCACACACGCGCACACACGCGTGCGCACTTCTGTGCTTCTCTGAACATCCTCTGCCTCCTGGCATCTCAGTCCCTTCACACGCATCTTTCACTCCTTGTCTGAAAGCCCACTCCTCACTTCCACCTGATAATTCCTAGCTGGCCCTGAGATCTGGTTCAGATGATACGTGCCGCTGGAGGGAACCTTCTCTGGCACCCCAGGCTTCCCCCCCGTGCTCCCTCGGCACTCGGCACGTGCCTGCGGGGGGGCTCGACGCACTGAATACTTTCCGACCCCTCTTCCTACACCCAAAGCTCAGAGTTGGCAGGACG